ATTAATCAGCGATCAGTCTCACTAAATGGAGTAAGAATACCGCCTGCCAACACAGCAAAGTACCTCGGAATGGCACTTGACGCCAAACTCCGATGGAAGGGGCATTTTAAGAAGAGGAGGAACTGCAAATCAAATTTTGAAAAATGTCCTGGCTGATCGGACGTCATGTACAACAAGCTGCTCCTGTATAAACAAATGCTGCGACCAGTCTGCACATATGGCGCCCAACTATGGGGATGTGCGAAACAATGCAACATCGAAGTAATCCAGCGATACCAGAACAAAGTACTAAGATTCATAGCAGATGCGCCCCGGTATGTACGCAACAGGGACCTCCATCGAGACCTCGGTGTCGAAACAGTCGCATCCATTGCAAGATACGCCACCTCACACGTCAATGAAGAAGCGTCCAGGCTCCTAAATGTGGGAAACCTAACCAGGCGACTCAAACGGACCAAACCTTACGAACTGGCCAAGCAGCCCGAGAGCTAAGTGATCCGATGGGCGAACTTAACTTCATATAATCTTAGTAACTTAGTGTCAAATTAAAACAGATTGTTAGTTCAAGTGAACTAGTCTTTGTAACATTTTGCTTACATCTTGTAGCAGCCAATAGATAAATAATAAAAAAAAGAACAAAATATTTCACATGAGCATGGAAGCCCGGGGGGGGGGCATGCAAGTTATCCTCCTATTCTCACGTATTTTTGGAAGACAGTCAGAATTTAAGAAAAGAAAGAACTGTGCCCAGTTCTAATATAAAAAATTAAAAGTACTTTTAGACAGAAGAAGAAATTTAAAAAGTCTTAAATGTAATTATGTAAGCACAATTTCTGTCTGCCCTTCTTCAAAAATATCTACTCGTGCCCCACCCCACCGTAAGACTGACTGTCCCCCAAGAGGAAGTCTGGTAGCCCCTCTGAATATGAAATAAGAGTTAGCAAGAGTGTTAACTCGCATTAAGAGTTATAGTAACGATGTAGGGAAGGGATGTATTAGGAAACTGCTTAGCAGTTCTGGTGGTTTTCTTTGCCTCTAGGTTCTCAATTCGTGAAAGCTAACTCCGTAAAGCAGGCGGAATTGACGGGTAAGTCAGTCTATTTCCAATACAGACTCGGTCCAGCTGTTCTCGACTTATAATATGCAAATTAATTGTGCTTATTTATCCGGAAACAAGTGTGGACATACGGCGTGTGCTTAATTTCTCTTTACAATATTTCCTCGCAATTCGTACGTTAGATTTAGAATGCAGTGCGTTACACTGAGAATGCGCGCAAAAACTGATGTCTTCATGTAAAGCGCCCATTTCTGTTATCCCATTTTAACCAACAAATTGGAACAAGCAAAAGGTGTTAGGAGAAGTGTCCAGTACGAAATTACATGAGAATCCCTTCTCTGATTCCAGAGCTGCTACGTGCGGACAGACACGTGTACACGGCGCAGATAACGACGCATGTTTACAAATTCATATTTTTCCTCAGGAGATCACGCGCCCTTCTCCAGCTCTTTCTGGCCTGGCATTCTTGTTCTAATTTACTTTCAGCTAAATCTGGGTAAATCTGAGACTTGAAACAAAATACCGTTTCCAAAAGCTAGCTGCTAACTTTTGGTATTTCCCTACGCGAAGTAATCCGCGTGGTCAGAATATCATGACATTTAATTAGAAGAAGTTTGAATTTATGTTTTCACTCGAAAGCAGTGCGTAAGCTAATCTCATCCATTGATCCTCTGCACAGTGTCTTCCGTTCTCCTTGCAAGCACTTACACTTTCCTCGTTGGTTCATAACGTCTTCCAATAACCCCGTTATAGCAGCTGAATTATTGTAATAATGTTGTAATTATTAGCAAGGGATTCGCAGAGACGCGTACATGACAGGGACAGTCCAGTGCGTGTACTTCAACATGACTATCCAGTCAAGCTGTCTGTCCGCTCACGAGCGGTACCTACCGCATGAGCAGACATGTATCTGCGCAAAGTCTGTCATCATCATTACTTAGAGCAGTTCAGATCTGCCCGTCTGTTCTTCGTCATGCCTTTCTAAGGTATTTGTAGTATCTGTTTAGTTCTTGATCTACGTAGTAGATACGGTACAAAATTTAAAGTCGTTACTTTGTATGTCAAAGAAAGGTAAAGTTATTCCTCGGGTAGACTAAAGAAACTGAAATGAAAAATGTCCGAGCCAGTCACGGTAGCCGAGCTGTTTAAGGCATGAACTGTCTTCGCTGACTCGGAAGCCGGGATCGTGGGTTCGACTCCCACAGAAGGCATGGATGATTTGTGTGTGTATGCGTTTATTCTGTTTGTGATGTCCTGTGTTTAGGTAGAGGCCTTGCGACGAGCTGATCACCCGTCCAAGGAGTCCTACCGGCTGCAACAGTGAACAGTGAAGCTGAGAAATCAGCCCCATGCTCCAAAGCGGGCGCGAGAGGGGGGACATACGAGTATACTGTGTAATCTGTTGTGCTCTAAGGGGTTAAATTGCAAGGCGGCGGTCTTCTGAAATCTAACGTGTATTTTATTACACATATGCCATATGACACGGCTTCATGCCGCCTAGGACAGTAACCGTGATATCCACACCTTGAAAACAGGTCTCTCTTAGGACACCCTACGTCACATTATATCCGAGGCAGCCTGTCTGTATACACACTATATACCGTCTTCAGAGATGCTTTTTCGTGCTCTTCAAATGAACGGCTATTGCAGGCCTCTGTTTACGTTAGCTTCGTCCTCTGTTTTACAGATCCACACAGCTCATCCCGTAATTACAGATTTTCAGTATTCTGAAATATTCCAAAATACGGTCTGAAACGTCAAAGGCAACTATGTCCAGAAGTGGAATTTGTATGAAAATAATAATGGCTCCGTTTCACTCCGGTTTTAAAGGCTTGTTTCAGGTATGTGAAACAGTTTGTTTGTTTGTTTGTTTGTTTGAGCATTTGCATGCATGATTCTAGAAGACTGTAACTTTGTTAACCTATGTAGCATAGAGAAACAACACAGTTTATGAAAACAAGTCTCTTTGATTTTTCTGAGAGTTGTATAGCTGATACCCTCCACTAAAACTAAACTAAACTAAACTAAACACCGTGGCCTGTAGTCTGCAAGCGATCTATACCGACTGAGCGGCCGC